ACTCTTAGGACGACAGGTGCGGTGGGTGGATTTCCTGGAAACTCACTTCCACTACGACATCGTCTACAAGCCCGAGCTACACAACAAGGCAGACGCGTTGAGCCGCCCCGGACATGTAGCAGGCATCCAGCTCGACGGGATGAACCCTCTCCTCAAGGGTCTATTCCAACATTGGTACTCCGTGGACGCAGAGATTGCTACAGCACAGACCAAGAAGCTATTACCGTGGGAGAAAGACTTAGCTGTAAGGAAGGGTTCAGGAAAGATTTGGGTACCGAATTACGCCCCGCTACGGCAGATCCTATTGGAGGAGTTTCACGACGTACCTTACGCGGGACATTTCGGGAGCAACAAGACGTTAGCAGGGATAGGGAAGTATTACTACTGGCCCGGGATGGCAGCAGACGTGCAGCAGTTTGTCACCTCTTGCGACACGTGCCAGCGGATGAAGAGCAGCAAGCAGAAAAAAGCAGGGTTACTTCAGCCTCTACCCGTACCGGAGCAGCCATGGCAGGTCGTTAGCCTCGACTTCATCACAGGGCTTCCTTCGACCTCACGGGGACATGATTCCATCCTCGTGGTGATCGATAAGTTCTCAAAAATGGGTCACTTCATACCGACCAACGCCACAGCTACAGCTGAAGAAACTGCCCGACTCTTCTTTGACCGCATCATCACCATCCACGGCATCCCCGCTACACTCATCTCAGACAGAGACCCCAAATTCACGAGTAAGTTCTGGAAGGAGCTCATGGGACTGTTGGGGACAAAGCTTGCAATGTCTTCAGCATACCACCCCCAGACTGACGGACAGACAGAGCGACTCAATCAAGTGGTTGAACAGTTACTACGCACAGCTTGCAAGGACGATGTCAGCCACTTGGACACACAGTTACCAACCCTAGAGTTTGCTTACAGCAACGCATCACATGCGGCCACAGGGAAAACTCCTTTCTTCCTGTGTTACGGACGAGAACCACTCACACCACAGCAGCCAACTACACCGGCACACGTCCAAGCCGCACATGACTTCGTCACCACCATGCAGCAGCTATGGGAGAAGACTCAGCGACGTCTCACCACGATGCAGAACTCCCAGAAGCAGTATGCCGATCGTTAGCGACGTGATCACTCAGTAGCAGTCGAAGATCAGGTGCTTCTTGACACGCGCAACTTGAACCTGTCTCACCTCCCATCCAAACTCCGGCCTCGCTTCTGTGGTCCTTTTCTCGTTGAGGCACATGTGACACCAGTTACATTCCGCTTGCGCTTACCAGATACGTGGAAGCTTCACAATGCTTTCCATGTGCAGCTACTGAAACCCTACAAGGACCCCAACCAGCAGTTCAAGGGACGGCAGCTACCGCCACCTCCACCTGTTCTTGTACAGGATGAACCCGAGTACGAGATCGAGCGCGTTCTCTCTCATCGGTGCCGCGGCGGTAAGACCCTTGAGTTCCTGATACGCTGGGAGGGATACGACCCCACTGAGGACAGTTTGGTTGCAGAAGCTGATATGGGCAACGCACGCCGTGCTCTCAAGGACTATCTTGTCAAGCAGGGTGTATCTCACGCCACCCAGCTTTGAGGGGGGGACGTGTGAGAGTACGACAGCTTATGCCAGCTATGCTTGCTTGCCTTTACTTTATCATGCTATTTCTAGCATAGCATAATTATATGCATGCATGAATTGCTTGATTTCCTAGGCTAGGTGCTTTCCTATATTTTATTATAGTTATAGCACCGAGCTAGGTTGCGTGCACCGAATTCTGGCTTTTCGGTTGCCACCGAATTGCCTTCTACCGAATTCGGTAAGGATCCGTTCAGGACGCTACGCGGCCCGCGGAACCTTCGCGTAACACCTGGTTACACCGCCTTGTGTCGAGCCTATATATAGCCTCATGTTGTACCCAGGTGAACACATTCAATTCAATTCAATTCGACTCAATTCTCATTCTCTTTTCTGAACTCGATCCTCACTGGGTGGATCACAACGTCACCACACAGTCCGAGCATAAGAGCAAGGCCAGGAGGCCAGTTCACATGCAAGATCATATATAAAGGTAAACAAGCAAGTGCAGGTATAGAAAGATCACAGTACACGCAAGGTCAAGAAGTGAGCAAGTGAGGCCAAGTAGGCACAAGACCTAGCATCGTACAGAAGCGCTGATGATCACAAGGTGGAAGTGCCTTGGCAAAGATATCAGCAGTGTTGGCCTCAGAGGCCACGTAAGCAAGGCGCAGCTGACCACGCTGCTGCAGCTCATGAGCAAGGAAGTAGTGAAGAGCAATGTGCTTCGTTCTGTGCTCCAGTCTGTGCTCCGGACACAAGGCCAGCATGGCCTTGTTGTCTACGTACAGAACTGGAGGAGAACGAGGCTGCTCTCCTAGGTCATTCAGCAGGTAGGTGAGCCAGCGTAGCTCATGTGCAGCCATGGCCCCCGCGTAGATCTCAGCCTCACAGCTGGAGCCAAGAACAGAAGACGAGCGAGAAGACCGCCACGAGACAGAGCCAGAGCCAAGGCTGAAGGTGTAACCCTGTGAGGACCGCTGCGTAGCCTGGTCGTCAGCCCAAGAAGCATCTGCGTGACCTTTGAGGACCACTCGACGTCACCCTCCAAGCACTATCCCCATGCCCGACGTACTGCACAAGTAGCGCAACACCCTCTTCGCTGCAGCCATGTGCTGTGGTCTGTGTCTCCCAGGAGCAACATAGCGTGCCAAGATGCTAAGATGGTATGCAAGGTCAGGTCGTGTGCAGGTCATCAGGTACATGAGGCAGCCAACAAGCTCTGGGTACGGGCCACTCGGCTCTACGGACTCATCCGAAGGCAGAGCTGAGAGCGAGTGGCGAGTAGACAGAGGAGTGGCTTGAGGCAAGGAGTACGTGAAGTCGAAGCGGTGAAGGACCTGCTGCACCATGTGTGACTGAGTCAGGGTAATGGTGCGTTCTGCACTGTCCCGGGTGATCTGCAAGCCAAGGTAGCTGCGTAGTTCACCGAGGTCTGTACACGTGTGTCTCTTTTGCAGCTCGGACTTCACATGGGCGAGTCCAGCAGTGTCACCACTAGCAAAGACCAAGTCGTTGACGTACACGAGGATGTAGAACGGCGGCAAAGAGGTGTCGGTGCGCTAAAACAGCGACGGGTCAGCTGTAGAAGGAGCAAACCCAAGAGCCGCAAGTGTAGTCCTCAGTGTGTTGTGCCACTCACGGGACGCCTGGCGGAGACCATAGACTGGCCGCCGGAGGCTCCACTGGGTACCAGGAAGAAACAACCCAGTGAAGCCAGGTGGGCGGCGCAGCCAGATCTCCTCGTGCAGGCTGCCCTGCAGGAAAGCTGTGCTGAAGTCAAGGGAGTGAAGCTCGTATTCGCGCGGAGCAGCTATGTGTAGCAGCACCCGAAGAGTGGTCATCTTCGGGATGGGAGAGAAGGTCTGAAAGTAGTCAACTCCCTGCCGCTGACTGAAGCCTCGAGCCACGTAACGCGCCTTGAAGACAGGCGGAGAACCCGACGGCCGCTTCACCCTGAAAATCCACATGCCACTGACGATGTTCGCCCCAGGTGGGGGAACCTCGTCGACGTAGGTGCCTGTGGACTTCCAGGAAGCCATCTCTGCGTCCATGGCTGACTGCCACTGAGAGGAGTAGGGACCCTCGATCGCCTCAGCGTACGATCGAGGAGTCGAGATGTCTGGTGCATCCGGGTCTCCCTCAGGGGCACTCAGCGTGGACACGAGATGAGGCAAAGTAGCAGCAAAACACTGGAACTCCTCCTGCATGTCCTCAAGGACTTCCGAGCTAAGAGCACACTCACCCTCGACGGACGGAGGACAGACAGACTCAGACTCAGCAACAAGGCTAGCAGCGTAGTCTAGACGACAGCGAGCAGCAAAGTCGACCAGCTCGGCAACCAAGGCAGACGCAGCAGTGGACTCAAAGGAAGGGTCAGTGACAACAGAGGCCAGGAGACGCTTTACAGTAGGACTGGCAGCACAAAGAGAGTCAGACTCAGGGTCAGCAAGCACAGGAAGAGAGGACTCAGGAGGAGACGGCAACGGGACACGCAGAGAAGCAGTGGAAGGACGCAGTGCCATCTGGTGTGTGCGTGGGACCGCAGGAGGACGCGGACGCGGAACACGACGACTAGTGCGAGCAGCACGAACAGGTGACGCGGGACGAGACGCAGGCTCACGAGGCTCAGCAAGACCTTTAGTAGGACTAGTGTAGGGAGAAGGGGCAGGTCGGGGGGAGGCGGGCTGTAACTGTGACTGCGACTGGACAGGCTGTGGACACTCTAAGGGAGGAGCAAGACCAGTAGAGGGCGGGAGACCAAGAACTTGCTCAAGGAGCGGAACGAAGTACGGCCTCGGCCGCGCAGCGCCTCCAGAACCAATAAAGACAGCACCACTACCCCCAGCGGCAGCACCAGCGCCAGCAGCGCCAACTCCAGCACCCTCAGACGCACCAGCGCCAGCAAAAACACCAGCGCCCACACCCCAAGCGACTCCAGCTCCAACAGCTCCAACAGCACCAACTTCAACAAGACTGACTCTAGCACCTCCAGTAGCACCCCCAGTCCCAGCAGCTCTAGTACCGCCAAAACGAGCACCTCCGGGACAAGCAGCAACAGTAGTACCTCCAGCTCCAACAGCACAGCTCCAGCGCCGGGCAAACCACTCGCGTAGCTCTTGTGGAGAGAGTGGCTCCCGCCTCGACGAAGCACCGCCGGCGGCCACATGAGCAGACCCAGCACCCCCAGGCTCCGCACCCCCAGGCTCCGCACCCCCACACTCAGCACCCCCAGGCTCAGCACCTCCAGACGCAGCAACCCCAGGCTTAGTACCCCCACACTCAGCACCACCAGACCTAGCAACCCCAGACTCGGCACCCGCAGGCTCAGCACCTCTAACAGCACCAGAGTCAACAGCTACCTTGACAGGCTCGACTGCGTCTTCCTGGGACACACCTGATGGGGCAGGACCCTGAGGGGGGAGGGGGTCTACCGAGGGAGGACCTGGCGCAAGGAAGAGTGGCGGCAGGGGAAGGGGCGCAATGCGGTAGGGGAAGAGATGGTAGTAAGGTACTGACTCGTCAAAGGTGACGTCCTTGGAGGACAGAACACGGCGCGAGGTGGGGTGGTAAAATTGCCAACCAAGTGCGTCAGGGGGGAAGCCAAGGAAGACGCAGGGAACAGCACAGGGGGACAGCTTGTCCGCAGACAAGTCGCGGACAAACGCCCGAGATCCCCAGACGCGAAACGCAGACGCATCGCCAACCTTCCCCGTCCACCGCAAGGTGGGGGAGGTCTTTGGCAAGGAGACCCGGGGCTGAAGGTTGAGCAGATGCGCTGCGTACTGAACCGCAAACGGCCACAGAAAATGGGGGGCAGCTGCATGCATCATGGACGTACGAGCAACGTCCATGACCATGCCAATGCTTCGCTCAGCAATCCCATTTTGCTGTGGAGAGACCGGAAGCGTGAAGGTCTAGCGGATGCCCTGTGCACGACAGAAGGCTCCCGGACGGGCAGAGGAAAACTCCCCGCCTGTGTCAGAGTGCAGACGCAGAACAGGAAAGTCCGAGCCAAAACTCTCCCTGAGCTCGATACGAGCTGCGCGGATCCAGTCGATCAACACCTTAGTGATGTCACCCTTGCTGCGCAAGGGGAAGACTGTGGTGTAACGCGAGTAGTCGTCAACCACCAACAAGAAGTAACGCTTGTGCCCCTATCCACGGACGCGGGCGGGGCCCCACACGTCCATGTGGAGAGTCTGCAGCGGATCCTCTGTCGGAGGAAAATGGGAGGAGTGAGGGGCGGCGCGCTGTGGCCCCTTGATGCAGGAGACGCACGTAGGGCCAGGCCCTGGAGGTAGGGGAGGGAGAGACCGGGGGAGACCAGAGACAAGGACACGGGAGGACAAGGACTCAGGACCAGACCTGGACGCTGCAGCAAACACCTGACTCGACGCAGCTGCCTGGGCAGACTCAGCAGCCGGAGGAGACTCAGTAGTAAGGGTGTACAGGCTCGACCCTGGCTGACGGGTGAACGTGGCCAAGTGTTGGCCTGTCCAAGCACATGTGCAGTTGGTCACCCGCTGACTCGCAGGAGAGAACTGGTCAACCCCCCTTTCCTGTAGGTCCGCTCCACTCACCAAGTTTGTAGAGAACGAGGGGAGGTAGAGACCTAACAGGGTGCCGGAGGGGGCCGCCGGGCATGGCAAGACAGTGGAGAAGCTAGCAAGGACAGGACCCCCATAGGGGTCCGCTTGGGAGACTACAACCGGCCGACTAAGCGGCGTAAGCGTGGTGCGGTCTCGAAAGAAGGAGCGGGACGCACCCGAGTCAAGGGTGAAGGTGTGTAAGGCCTGAGCCGGCGTAGTACCTGAGAGAGCAAACTCATCAGCACCTGGGGCAGCAAACGCACTAGCACTTGGGGCAGCAGACGCACTAGCACCTAGAGCAGCAGCCTCACCACCACCTAGAGCAGTAGCCTCAATGCCCGGGTCAGGCGGTACACATAGGTAACAGTCACCCTCAACACTAGAAGTCACAGCATACATGGTAGCAAGGATAGCATCATAGTCAAGATCAAATATGGCAATCCCCGCCCTAGACAGATCTCCCTAGCGAGGGATCTCTGATGCCTCAGGGAACTGGTGACGCCACGCGTCCGTCAGGCGGCCGAAGCAGCGCTGGGTGGAGTGCGGGCCCCCGCACTGCTCACCAGTGCGGTCGCCGGTACGGAGGACGTAAGTGCAGGGACCAGTACCCCCACCGCGCTGACGCGCAGCGTACCACTCACGAAGCTGCTGAGGGGACAGGGTCTCACGACCGCACTGCTGCTGCTGGCGCGGAACACCACCGGACCCACTCCTCTGCGCAGAGTCGCGACCAGCTCCACCGCCGCCGCCACCACCGCCTCCGCCGCCTCCGCCACCGCCGCCTCCGCCACCTCCGCCGCCTCCGCTCCCTCCGCCGCCACCGCCGCCTCCTCCGCCTCCACTGCTGCCACCACCGCCGCCACCCCCGCCACCAGTCCCACCACCACCCCCACCCCCTCCATTGCCTCCACCACCCCCTCCACCGCCCCCGCTAGCCCCTCTAGCGCCCTTGCCCCCCTTGCCCTTGCCGGTGCGGTGTCTCACGCTAGGGGCAGACGCAGCGCCAACCCCGTAGAAACCAACGAGGTCGGCAGCAGCAGTAGAAGCAACAGAAGGCAAGAGGTGGGAGGGGGAACACCCCTCAAAGACGGGGGTGCAAGGGTCACCACGAGAGGCTCCTACAGCGACTATGCTCTTCTCTGCTGCTAGGAGGCGCTCCTCGAGGAGGTCAACGGTGAGAGTGGTGGGGCAAACTGAGAGGAAGTGGTCCCTGACTACGCGAAGAGATTCAGGGAGCCAGGTGACTACGTAATAGAGGGTGATGTACATGGCGGGGGGGGGGGGGGTTTCTTGGCGCAGAACTCAGCAGGAAGCGCAACGCGGTAGCGAGTGTCACTAGTGCGTGTCAGACATACATGACATAGCTACTTAAGGCTATAGTGGGGTAGCACATATGGGGTACAGCTTTCTAGGGTTTGTACTTGTACCCAACTTTCCCTTAGTCATTTTCATTCCTCGTTTCTTCTCATGGTATCGAGCAGGTTCCCTAGTGGGAACGATTCCTAGGGCCCACCACCACGAAATTTTTTTTTTCCTGCCCGGAGCGCGCTTTGCTCTGGCCCGAGTCGCGCCCCGTGTGCTCTCCCTACCGTCGCGCCCTCGCTAGGCCCCTCACGGCCCCGTCGCGTTGCCCTTAGCGGCCCTCTCACGGCTCCCTAGCGCCGCCCTTACGGCCCGTCGCGCCGCCCTTACGGCCCGTCGCGCCCATCGCGCCGCCCTTACGGTCCCTCGTGCCGCCCTTACGGCTCTTAACGCCGCCCTTACGGCCCAGCGAGCCGCCCCTTACGGCCCCTTACGGCCCCTCACGCTACCCTTACGGGCCCTCCCCCGGCCCCTTCGGCCCCTCCCGCCGCCCGTCAGCCCCTTACAGCCCCCTTGCGGCCCCTCGAGCCGCCTTCCGCGGCCTCCTCACGGCCCGTCGCCGCCCTCGGCGGCCCCTCGTGGCGCCCTTCACGGCCTCTCCGCGGCCCTTCGCGGCCCCTAGCGGCCGGCCGCCATCGTCCCTGAGGCAGCAGCCGCCGCCGTCTCTGCAGCAGCAGTCGCCACAGCTCCTGCGACTGCTGCCACGGTCGTCACTAGCCACACCAGCCGCCGGGCCGCCCAGCAGCCGAGCAGCCGAGCCGCCGAGCCGCCCAGCAGCCGAGTCGCCGAGCGGCCGAGCCGCCCAGCAGCCGAGCCGCCGAGCCACTGAGCCGCCCAGCAGCCGACCGCCGAGCCGCTCGAGCCGCTGAGTCACCGAGCCGCCCGAGCCGCCCGAACCGCTGAGTTGCCCGAGTCGCCCGAGCCGCCGAGCCGCCCGAGCCGCCGAGTTGCCGAGCCGCAATTGCTGCCGAGCCGCCGTACTGCCTAGCCGCCGAGCCGCCCTGTACGGTAAGAGCAGGGCCTCTATCACTGCAGTGCCCTTACCCTACTGTTCGCGCTGCTAGTCTACTGCTGTCATGGCTACCCCTAGTGTCCTCGCCTTTGACGGTGAGGGTCGGGCCATTGACTTTGACGTCTGGGTAGATGACCTGCAGCTTTTCTTACAATGCGATAGGGCAGACGGTCTCTCCCTCTTTGACCTCACCTCAGGTGCCTCTCCTGCCCCTGCTGCTGATGCTGACGCCACTGTTCGCTCACAGTGGGCCACACGCGATGCTGCTGCACGTCTTGCTGTGCGTCGCCACCTGCCTACCTCTGAGCGTGCGCACTTTAGCCAGTACAAGTGTGCTCAGACCTTGTACGACGCTGTAGTTGCACGCTACTCCTCCCCTGCCACTGCTGCACTGAGCCGCCTCATGCTACCGTACCTCTTTCCTGACCTTGCTGCCTTTCCCACAGTCGCTGACCTCATTACGCACCTCCGCACTAGTGACACTGGCTACCGCGCTGCGCTTTCTGCTGAATTCTGCGCCAAGAACTCCCACTGCACGGACGCTCGGACAAGCTGACACCTGGCCACGTTTACACGTCGACCAGGGTCAAGCCTGTACACACTGACCACTGAGTCTCCTCCAGTCACTGCGTCTGGTCAGGTAGCTGCGTCGGGTCAAGTGTTTGCTGCAGCGTCCAGGTCTGGTCCTGAGTCTACCCCCTGCTCGTGTCGCCTCCTGTCTCACGAGACTCTCCTCTAGCACCACCGCCTTGGTCACCCCTCCCTGCTTCGTCTCCGAGGCATGGCCTCCCGAGTTCTTGTCTCTGGTCTTCCCCGGTCCCTCCCTCCCCTTCCTCCGGGGCCTGCCCCTGCCTGCGTCCCCTGTGTTGAGGGGCGGCAGCGGGCTGCCCCTCACTCCTCCCAGTTTCCTCCGACAGAGGCCCCGCTGCAGACGCTTCACATGGACGTGTGGGGCCCGGCCCGCGTCCGTGGACAGGGTCACGAGTGCTACTTCCTGCTGGTGGTTGACGACTACTCGCGTTACACCACAGTCTTCCCCTTGCGCAGCAAGAGTGATCTCACTGAGGTGTTGATCGAATGGATCCGCGCAGCTCGTCTCCAGCTCAGGCAGAGCTTCGGCTCGGACTTTCTTGTTCTGCGTCTGCACTCTGACAGAGGCGGAGAGTTCTCCTCTGGCCTTCTGCGAGCCTACTGTCATGCATGAGGCATCCGCCAGACCTTCACGCTTCCGGACTCTCCACAGCAAAATGGGATTGATGAGCGCCGCATTGGCATGGTCATGGACGTCGCCCGTACGTCCATGATGCATGCGGCTGCCCCCCATTTTCTGTGGCCGTTTGCGGTTCGGTACGCGGCGCATCAGATCAACCCAGGGTCTCCATGCCGGAGACCTCCCCAGCCTTGCTGTGGACGGGGAAGGTTGGGGATGCGTCTGCGTTCCGTGTCTGGGGATCTCGGGCATTTGTCCGCGACTTGTCTGCGGACAAGCTGTCCCCTCGTGCTGCTCCTTGCGTCTTCCTTGGCTTCCCCCCTGACGCGCTAGGGTGGAAGTTCTACCACCCCACCTCTCGCCGTGTTCTGTCCTCCCAGGACGTCACGTTTGACGATTCGGTCCCCTACTACCGCCTCTTCCCCTACCGCACTCCGTCCCTCCCCCCGCCACCGCTCTTCCTTGTGCAAGGTCCTCCCCCGGTAGACCCCCTCCCCCCTTAGGGTCCTGCCCCTTCAGGTGTGTCCCAGATAGACGCAGTCGAGCCTGTTGAGTTTGTTGGTGACTCTGGTGCTGCTGAGGGTGCTGAGCGTGGGGGTGCTGACTCTGGGGGTGCTGAGCTTGTGGGTGCTACGCCTGGGGGTGCTGAGTCTGAGGGTGCCACTACTGGGGGTGCTGAGTCTGGGGGTGCTGAGCCTGAGGGTGCTACTACAGGGGGTGCTGAGCCTGGGGGTGCTGAGCCTGGGGGTGCTACGATTGGGGGTGCTGAGCCTGGGGGTGCTACGCCTGGAGGTGCTGGGCCTGGGGGTGCGGAGCGTGAGGGAGCTGGGCCTGCTCGTGTCGCGTCTGGCGGTAGTGAGCCTGCAGGTTCTCCGTGTGCTTCGTCTCGCCGGGAGCCACTCTTTCCACAGGAGCTGCGTGAGTGGTTTGCCCGGCGCTGGAGGCGTGGTGCTGGAGCTGGAGGTTCTTCGCCTACTGAGGGTGCTGGTGCTGCGGGTCCCAGAGGTGCTCGTACTGGGGGTACTAGAGCTGCTGGGCCTGCGGGTAGGACTGGAGCTAGAGCTGCTGAGGGTGTTGGCGCTGAGGCTACTGCTGTCGGTCCTGGAGGCGGTCCTGCTGGGGGTGCTACTCGTGCTGTTGGAGGTACTGGAGCTGGAGGTGCTGCTGGCGCTAGTGCTGTCGCTAGGGGTCCTGGTGCTGTCCCTGCTGTGTCTGAAGTCGCCGCGCGGCCTCGGCCGTACTTCGTTCCACTCCTTCAGCAGGTTCTTGGTCTCCCGCCTTCTACTGGTCCTCCTTCTCCCTTGAGTGTCCACAGCCTGTCCCGTCACAGTTACAGTTCGAGCCGGCCTCCTCACTGCCTGCTCCTTCTCCCTACACTGGTCCTACTGGAGGTCTTGCTGAGTGTCGTGAGCCTGCGTCTCGCCCTGCGTCGCCTGTCCGTGCTGCTCGCTCTAGTGGTCGTGGTTCGCGTCACTATCCTCCTCCTGTCCCTGGCACGCACTGGATGTCTCTGCGTCCGTCCACTGCTCCTCTGCGTGCCCCTTTGCCTTCTCCTCCTTAGTCCTCTCTTCCTGCTCTTCCGGACACGGAGTCGGACACTCTTCGTGCTGCCAGTCCTTCTATCACGCGTCTCCTTGCTACTGTCGTCACTGACCCTTCCTTTGAGTCCACTGCTGCATCTGCCCTAGTTGCTGAGCTCGTCGACTTTGCTGCTCGCTGTCGTCTAGACTACGCTGCTAGTCTTATCGCTGAGTCTGAGTCTGTCTGTCCTCCGTCCGTCGGGGGTGAGTGTGCCCTTGGCACGGACGTCCTTGAGGACAGGCAGGAGGAGTTCCAGTGTCTGGCTGCTGCTTCACCTCATCTCGTGTCCGTACTGCTTACCCCTTAGGGAGACCCGGATGAACTTTACATCCCGACTCCGCGCTCTTACGCGGAGGCGATAGAGGGTCCCTACTCCACTCAGTGGCAGGCAGCTATGGACACAGAGATGGCTTCCTAGAAGTCCACAGGCACCAATTTTGATGAGGTTCCCCCGCCTGGGGCGAACATCGTCAGTGGCATGTGGATTTTTAGGGTGAAGCGGCCGCCGGGTTCTCCGCCTGTCTTCAAGGCGCGTTACGTGGCTCGTGGCTTCAGTCAGCGTCAGGGACTTGACTACTTTCAGACCTTCTCTCCCAACTCGAAGATGACCACTCTTCGGGTACTGCTGCACATAGCTGCGCACCGCGACTACGAGCTGCATTCTCTTGACTTCAGCACTGCTTTCTTGTAGGGCAGCCTGCACGAGGAGATCTGGTTGCGTCGCTCACCTTGCTTCACTGGGTCTTTTCCTCCTGGCACCCAGTGGAGCCTCCAGCGGCCAGTCTACAATCTCCGCCAGGCACCGCGTGAGTGGCACGACACACTGAGGACTACACTTGCGGCTCTTGGGTTTGCTCCCTCTACTGCTGACCCGTCGCTGTTTCTGCGCACCGACACTTCTTTGCCGCCGTTCTACATCCTCGTGTACGTCGACGACTTGGTCTTTGCCACAGCTCACACTGCTGGACTCGCCCACGTGAAGTCCGAGCTGCAGAAGAGACACACGTGCACAGACCTGGGTGAACTGCGCAGCTACCTTGGCTTGCAGATCACCCTGGACAGAGCACGCCGCACCATCACCCTGACTCAGTCACACATGGTGCAGCAGGTCCTTCAGCGCTTCGGCTTCACGTACTCCTCGCCTCGGGCCACTCCTCTGCCTACTCGCCACTCGCTCTCAGCTCTGCCTTCGGATGAGTCCGTAGAGTCGAGTGGCCCGTACCCAGAGCTTGTTGGCTGCCTCATGTACCTGATGACCTGCACACGACCTGACCTTGCATACCCTCTTAGCATTCTTGCACGCTATGTTGCTCCTGGGAGACACCGACCGGAGCACATGGCTGCAGCGAAGAGGGTGTTGCGCTACTTGTGCAGTACGTCGGGCATGGGGCTTGTGCTTGGAGGGCAGAGTCCAGTGGTCCTCACAGGTCACGCAGACGCTTCTTGGGCTGACGACCAGGCTACGCAGCGGTCGTGACAGGGTTACACCTTCAGCCTTGGTTCCGGCTCTGTCTCGTGGCGGGCTACCCGCTCGTCTTCTGTTCTCAGCTCCAGTTGTGAGGCTGAGATCTACGCAGGAGCCATGGCTTCTCAGGAGCTTTGCTGGCTCACCTACCTGCAGACTGACCTTGGAGAGCCGCCTCGTTCTCCTCCAGTGCTGTACGTAGACAACAAGGCCATGCTGGCCTTGTGTCGAGAGCAGAGACAGGAGCACAGAACGAAGCACATTGCTCTCTGCTACTTCGTTGCTCGTGAGCTACAGCAACGTAGTCAGCTGCGGCTTGCGTACGTGGCCTCTGAGGCCAACACTGCTGATATCTTCACCAAGGCACTTGCGCCTTGTGATCATCAGCGCTGCTGTACTCAGCTGGGTCTTGTGCCTACCTTGCCTCAATTGCTCACCCCTTGACCTTGTTTGTACTGTTACATATGTATATATATATACACTTGCTCTTGCTTGTCTAGCCTTATATATATATGTAATCCTGCATGTGAACTGGCCTTGTGGCCTTGAACTTGTGCTCGGAATGTGTGGTGACTTTGTGATCCACCCTGAGCTTGCTTTGCTTTGCTTGACTCGTCTTGTGACCCCTTGTTCTCCCCCAGTTTGCCCATAGGGATGTGGCAGACATATATGACATAGCTACTATATGCTATAGTGGGGTAGCACATATGGGGTACAGCTTTCTAGGGTTTGTACTTGTACCCAACTTTCCGTTAGTCATTTTCATTCCTCGTTTCTTCTCATTGCGGAGGTGCGTAATGAGGTCAGCGACTGTGGGAAAGGCAGCAAGGTCAGGGAAGAGGAACGATTGCATGAGGCGGCTCAGTGCAGCACTGGCAGGGGAGGAGTAGCGTGCAACTACAGCGTCGTACAAGGTCTGAGCACTCTTGTACTGGCTAAAGTGTGCACGCTCAGTGGTCGGTAAGTGGCGACGCACAGCAAGACGGGCAGCAGCATCGCGTGTCGCCCACTGTGAGCGAACAGTGCTGTCAGCAGTAGCAGGCGGGGTAGGGGAGGCACCAGAGGTGAGGTCGAACAGAGAGAGGCCGTCTGCCCTATCGCACTGGAGGAACACCTTGAGGTCATCGACCCAGACCTCAAAGTCAACAGCACGGCCCTCAGTGTCAAAGGTAAGAACACTGGGGGTAGCCATGACTGCAGAGGTCTAGCAAGGAGTGGGCTCACCAGTACGAGTAAGTAGGGCCGGGGCGCGTCGGTAGGACTGGTAGCGGCTCAGTGGCTCGGCTGCTGGGTGGCTCGGCGATCGGGCGGCTCGGCGGGTCGGCTGCTAGGCGGCTCGGCGGCTCGGCTACTGGGCGGCTCGGCTGTCGGGCGGCTCGGCGGCTAGGCGGCTCGGCTGCTGGGCGGCTCGGCGGCTCGGCTGCTGGGCGGCTCGGCTGTCGGGCGGCTTGGCGGCTAGGCGGCTCGGCTGCTGGGCGGCTCGGCGGCTCTGCTGCTGGGCGGCTCGGTAGAGGCGGCGTCGAGGCCGCGTAGGAGGCGGCGTCGGGGCCGCTTAGGGGCGGCGACGGGGCCACTTAGGAGCGATAGCGGGGCCGCTGAGGGACGGCGACGAGGCCGCAAGAGGGCGGCGACGGGGGGCCGCGAGAGGGCGGCGACGCGGCCGCGAGAGGGCGGCGACGAGGCCGCGAGGGGCGGCTGCAGGGCCGCTACGGGCGGCGACGGGGCCGCGAACGGCGGTGACGGGGCCGCGAGAGGGAGGCGATGGGGCCGCGATAGGGCGACGTTGGGGCCTCGAGAGGGCGGCGATGGGGCCGCGATAGGGCGGCAACGGGGCCGCGATAGGGCGGCGACAGGGCCGCGATAGGGCGGCGACGGGGCCGCGAGAGGGCGGCGATGGGGCCGCGATAAGGCGGCGACGAGGCCGCTGAGGGCGGCGCGACGGGCCGCTAGGAGGGTGGCGACGAGGTCGCGAGGGGCCGTGAGAGAGGGGGAGGGCCGCTAAGGGCGGCGCGACGGGTCGCTAAGGGGAGGGCGGCACACAGGGCGCGCCTCGGTCAAGGGCGACTTGATCTCAGGGCAGGAAAAAAAAATCGATGTTCAGTGGTGGGCCCTAGGAAGTTCCCACTAGGGAACCTGCTCTATACCATGTGAGAATTGAGGAATGAATGAACTAGCAAGCAGGTGGGTACAAGTAGGAAAACCTAGAAGTGTTGTACCCCATATTTTCTACCCCACTACAGTCTACACAGACTATAGCATAAGAGTTTGACAGCTAGTCATTCTGCCACCCAAAATTCAGAGCGCAAAATTCACTCCGAAATTGAGGGGTACCCCGAGGTCACTCTCGCGGGGCTACCCACAAGTTCCTTGCAAGTGCCCTCGAGGATACCTCGAGCAATTGCAACGTCAGCAACTCTGGCAGAATCCGCCGCGCACATTCGTAAGAAACAAGATTCGACGTTTACGTTGGATGGGTTGCGTAGAGTTGTATCCTAGTACAAGAAACATTATGATGGTGAATATAAAAATTTACTGATGTTGAGCAAATTAGAATGTTTATTATATTTGGTTAAAATGGAATAAGCTTCAAATTTCCTATTTTGCTGCTTTCAGCAGATATGATGTTTTATTTTTACTCAGTGATTCTTCTGTGTATTAACAGAGAACTATTTGGATGTGATTTTTTTATGTTTATAATAGACATTTTTTTTTATATCCATCTTACTGTCTTGCGCATACAAATTACTATAGTGGGAAGCAGTGTATTTTTTTCCTCACACCTGTCTGCTCGAATTCGACTTTTGTCTTGGTTCTTGTTCCTTGGTTCTTGCTTGCTTCTTGGGTTCTTGCTTCTTGGTTCTCCCTCCAAATCCGCTCATTCCCGCCCAATCCTGCAGTCGCGCCTTACCTACCGTCTAGCTGTCCCTTACTCCTTTCCGTCCCTCTCCCTCTCACCCCGCCGTCGCGCTCTCTCCCACCCCGCCATCGCGTCTCTCTCCCTCCTAGCCGCCGTCTCCGCTCCCTCCCATCCCGCCATCGCCCCTCCATCCTTTCCAGCCGCCGTCGCTGCTCCCTCCCATCCCGCCGCCGCCTCTCCCTCCTCCCGCCGCCGCCTCTCCCTCCTCCCGCCACCGCCTCTCCCTCCTCCCGCCGTCGCCCCTCCCTCCTCCCCGCCGTCGCCTCTCCTCCTCCCCGCCATCGCCTCTCCCTCCTCTCCGCCGTCGCCTCTCCCTCCTCTCCGCCGTCCCCTCTCCCTCCTCTCCGCCGTCGCCTCTCCCTCCTCCCCGCCGTCGCCTCTCCTCTCCCTGCCGTCGCCTCTCCTTCCTCCCCGCCGTCGCCTCTCCTTCCCTCCCTGCCGTCGCCTCTCCTTCCTCCCCGCCGTCGCCTCTCCTTCCCTCCCCGCCGTCGCCTCTCCTTCCCTTCCCGCCGTCGCCTCTCCTTCCCTTCCCGCCGTCGCCTCTCCTTCCCTCCCCGCCGTCGCCTCTTCTTCCCTCCCCGCCGTCGCCTCTCCTTCCCTCCCCGCCGTCGCCTCTCCTTCCCTCCCCGCCGTCGCCTCTCCTTCCCTCCCCGCCGTCGCCTCTCCTTCCCTCCCCGCCATCGCCTCCGGCGAGTGCACGAGCGCAAGCGCGGGTTGGTGCGCGGAGCGCGGGTAGGTGCGCCAGCGCGGGTTGTTTTCTGAGGCACCGTGGTTATCAGGTGCGTTCCCGGTCCTTTCATCCTCCTTCCCCCTCTGAATTTCCCTTGTTTTTTGCCCTGTGTCAATTGGTCTCCTCTTGCATTGCACTTTCATCTGACGAAGGGGAGAGACCAAGCGCAAGGGAGAGCGTGTGCACGGGAGCGAACGCGCAGGAGAGAGCGAAGGAGAGAGCGCAGGAGAGAGCGCGCGAGAGAGCGTGCGAGCGAACGCGTGAGAGAGCGCGTGAGTGTGCGAGTGAGAGAGCGCGTGAGGGTGCGCGTGAGGGTGCGCATGAGAGAGCGCATGAGAGCGCGTGAGGGTGCGCATTAGAGAGCGTGTGAGAGAGTGCGGGAGAGGGTGCGAGGGAGCGCGCGAGAGATCGCGTGAGAGAGGGCGTGAGAGAGCGCGTGAGAGAGCGCATGAGAGAGCGCGTTAGGGTGTGCATGAGAGAGCGCATGAGAGTGCGTGAGGGTGCGCATTAGAGAGTGTGTGAGAGAGCGTGTGAGAGAGCGTGTGAGAGAGAGCGTGAGAGAGGCGTGAGGTTGCGTATGAGAGAGCATGTGAGAGAGCGCGTGTGAGAGCATGAGAGAGCGCGTGAGAGAGTGCGTGAGGGTGCGCGTGAGGGTGCCCGTGAGAGAGCGCGTGAGAGAGCGCATGAGAGAGCGCGTGAGAAAGCGTGTGAGGTTGCGTATGAGAGAGCATGTGAGAGAGCGCGTGTTAGAGCGTGAGAGAGCTCGTGAGAGAGCGCGTGAGGGTGTGCGTGAGGTGCGCGTGAGTGAGTGTGTGAGAGAAGCGCGTGAGAGAGCGCATGAGAGAGCACGTGTTAGAGCGTGAGAGTGCGCGTGAGAGTGTGCGTGAGAGAGCGCGTGAGAGAGCGCGTGAGTGAGTGCGTGAGAGAGAGAGAATGCGCGTGAGAGTGCGCGAGAGAGAATGCGCGTGAGGGTGTGCCTGAGAGCGCGTGTGAGAGAGCGCGTGAGAGAGCGCGTGAGAGAGCGCGTGAGTGTGCACGTGAGAGAGCGCGTGAGAGAGCGCATAAGGGTGCGCGTGAGGGTGCGCGTGAGAGAGCGCGTGAGAGAGCGCGTGAGGGAGCGCGTGTGAGAGCGTGAGAGTGCGCATGAGAGTGTGCATGAGAGAGCGCGTGCGAGAGCGCGTGAGTGAGCGAGTGGAAAAGCACGTGAGAGAGAGAATGCGCGAGAGAGAGCGCGTGAGAGAGCGCGTGAGAGAGCTCGTGAGAGAGTGCGTGAGAGAGCGCGTGAAAGAGCGCGTAAGAGAGTGCGTGAGAGAGTGCGTGAGAGAGCGCGTGAAAGAGCGCGTGAGAGAGCTCGTGAAAGAGCGAATGAGCATGCTGGGGCATAGGCACTAGCATCTATTCTGCTGGTGCTTGGGCAACTGGGGCTACTTATACAAATGAGTGTCGATTATTGCACTAGCGCTTAGAGTGCCGGCTAAGGTGTCGACGCCTCAGACGCTCGTCTAGGCCACTGGCAACTAGCGAGCTAGTGCCAAGCACGCTCTAACGCTTGGGCGATGGCATGGCACCTAATGTGCCGCGCTTGAAGCGCTAGCGTTATGGCCTTTGGCCTTTGGCTTTCTTGTACAGTGTGTGATCACAAACTGTTTTTTTGGGCAAGGTGTGCTGTTGCTTTCTTTGTTTTGGCTTTCTTGTGCAGGGCGTGTAGATGTTTACTTCTCTGTTTTTGCTTTGTGCAGGGCGTGTTTGTATTGACTTCTCTGTTTTTGCTTTGTGCAGGGCGTGTGTGTGTTGACTTCTCTATTTTTGCTTTGTGCAGGGCATATGTGTGTTGACTTCTCTGTTTTTGCTTTGTGCAGGGCACATGAGCTGAGAAGGGAGATGAGGGAGGGAGTGGGATGGAGATGAGGGAAGGAGGGAGGGAGGGTTGTAAGGAGGGTTACGTGGGATAGGCTAGCAGTTATTTATGCGTTTCTGAATTTTATTCATGACGGTTGCGTGTTTATTGCGGTCTCTGTATCTATCTGTGGTTGTTTGCATGTGTGTCAGTGTGTGCGTGTGCTTATGCGTGTGTGTACGTGCGCGTGTGAGCTTGTGTGTGCGATGTGTGCGTTTGTCTGTTTGCACCTGTCTGTCTCGTGTGTGCAACTGACGTGTGATGCTTAAGTGTGTCGGGTCTACATTTGAGGTGGGGGTCGTTGTTGGGGCAGCGTTGCTCGCCTTAGCATACCGAAACCATCTCTGTTGTAGCACCGATGCATCTTAGCATTCACTCGCTATTGTTATGTGCTGTTTTTGCACGTGTTATGCAACTGAGGTGTGATGTTTAAGTGTGTCGGTTCTGCATTTGAGGTGGGGATCGTTGTTGGGGCAGCGTTGCTTGCCTTAGCATACCGGAACCATCTCTGTTGTAGCACCGATGCATTTTAGCATTCACTCGCAGTTGTTATGTGCAGCTTTTGCTCGTGTTGAATGGATGCACATGATTTGCATTCATGACCAGTGGGTGTTTTTCTCGTCCATTGTGTTTGATGACGACGACCAATTGTTCCATTCGCCGTATTTATCAACGATTATGGAATGATAGGTCACATTTGGTCACACTTTTTTGGAAACTCATGTGTATCAGTGCTGTCATCTCCACACATTTGGAACACTCGTCAAAACGTTCAAACGAGTGGTTCGGACGTTGTGAAAATGACAAAAACTGCACTGTTCATTCGAGTCGACCGAAAAGTGCTACCAAATGTATAGGGTTGCTACGCAACCCAAAAAACTGACCAGTCAGGAGGCAGATCAGTTCGTTGGGATACCCCGAGGGTACCCACCTGTTTCTGAGGACGGTTCAGCACAGCACCAGGCCCTCAGATTCGTTTATGGCCTGTCTGATTCGTCAGACTAGTACACAATTTTAGTCTGAAAATCTCAGTGTTGGTATAAAAAAAAGGCTGAAATTTCAGAGTGTCCTAAAATAAAAGTCTGATCATTCAAAAACAATGCATTCACTGTTTTATCGGAATGTAATCAATGTTTCATTCATCTGCTACCGAAACGCACAACATTAAGGGGATTTCCGATAAAACATGCTATGACAGGGCGAATATATGTGTCAGAGCGAATCTTGTGGTGCGAAAGAGCAAATATGCAATGTCAGGGCGAGTTTTCTGTGATTGGTCGAAAATTGTTGTGCTCTGACAGCGCAAATCTGTTGTGTCAGGGCGATTTTGCTATGATTGGGCGAAAATCTTGTGCTGTAAGGCTCGGATTTGCTGTGTCAAGGCGATTTTGCGTTGACATTGCGCATCTGTTGTGACCTGTAAGTCCGAATCACCAGTCAAGGACGCGTTTGTACTCTGAATGATCAGAGTACACTCTCAGAAAACTCTGAACTCTCAGAGTTAGCCTTAAAAAAAGTCTGAAAATTACAGAGTTTGGGCCCAAAAAAGTCTGATTTTAACAGAGTACACTGGAAAAAAAATCTGAAATATCAGAGTTTTTTGTGCAAATCAGAGAAAAAAGTTTGACTTCGTAGGGCCTGCACAGCACCAATCATAGCCTCGCTTCACTTTTGCTGCCGAACCAGCCACGTTCGAAAATCCCACTTGGGAAGGTGCACTTCGACTTTCAACCTGCTAGAACGAAATGTATTATATTTCTTTTGTGATTCCGTCATGTGATCGCATCACTCAATATATTGCATGCAGTTGATGGGTTGGTTTCGTGGCACATTAGTGTTCACCAACCAATCAGAGCTCCTCGACAGCAGCTTCCATTGCCTCTCCTCTCCTCTTCCATTGCACCTTCAGAATACTAATCCACCCTTGAACTTCTCAATTTGTCATTTCTGATTTCGTTTTCCAGTCATGATACACACTTAGAGCAGCTATTACGAGGCCCACCTGCAGCGTACTTAGAATGACAAGTCGCTTCTCACAATTAGCGCTGATGAGTTATTAGTGGTGGTCAGGCTTTGCGTTGAACGACAAGCTTCCTACGAGCGCACACGTTATTCGCGGTTTCTTTCCAGGTCCTTTTCAGTTGTATTGCTCGTACTCGAGATGTTTGTTTTATTAGCGCGTATTGTATTAGTTTAATCACTAATTGTTTTTGTTCAAATGCGGTAAATGCAGTGCGCCGTCAATGGTTAATCATGAGCTACGAGTTCATGCGAGGTATGATAGTTGTGTGCGCTTACTGTTAACACGGGGCCAATGCGCTTAATCGTATACCGCACTCTCAAAGCCGCATCTAATCTGTGTCTTTTTCTAAATGTCGCGTTGCTTGCAGACTTCGGTGGGATCAGGGCTCTTGCTAGGATTTGGGCCTGTCTGACATACCTAAGTAAAAAAAACCGTTCCGTCTGACGTTCAGACGGGCATATTTTTTTGGTCTGGTTTTTTGGACGAATGTTAAAGCTTAGTCTGATTCTTCATACGATTCAATTTGCACAGTCTGATTTAGCTAACACACTTGTCTAACATAATCAGGCTTGTTTTGTTAATGAACACGCCCCTGGCGCGGTGCTGACAGCTCGCTAGCTGACAGACAGCTGTGTGGCTATTGAGGGGCACGCACATGACAATGAGGGGCTGCGACGCGAGGGATCAGGGTGGGTGGAGGTGGAGGGACGCGAAGGGAAGGGGGGGCTGGGCTGCGAGACATTTGGAGGGGCATGAAAGCGGGCTAGGCTGGGAGCGAGACCTGGAGAGACCTCAGGTTGGGGAGAGGGGGAGAAGGGTTGGACAGGACTAGGCCTGGAAGAGGAGCGAGGGCATAGAAGGGGGGGCTGAGCTGGTAGAGTAGCGAGAGATCGGGGGGGAAAAGGAGGGTTGGGGGGAGTGGGATCGGTATCAGACGAAAAACAACTCGTTCTCTGAAATTTCAGACTAACTATAGAGCTTGCTCTGAAATATCAGATGAACTAAAATCAGTCATCTTACGGATCAGACGAAATAAAAAGCATCGTCTTAGAGATTAGATGAAAGCGAAAATCTACGTCTGAAAATCAGACCATCAAACCAATTTGGTCTGATAACGAGAGCCCTGGGTGGGATCCTCTCATGCAGCGGCGAACGGTGGCAATTTTGAGTGCATCGATTTCGAACCCCTGCTGGACTCTTAAGTGCACACTCTTTGCATGTCCGTGGAAGCACCATTATTCGTGAGGTAAGAATCATGCAGTAAGAGAGTGTCACATTTACATGCCCTGTGTTGCTGCTGTGTCGTTTGTTGCTTTGGTGTGTTGCAGGCGCACAATAATACATGGCTCTTGAGCTGTGCGATCTGCACGTTAGACTTCGCAATTGGTAACATTTTGTTGCGATGTTAGAAAATTTTGAGGTGTTTACATGATGTTGTAAGAATCCCAACCACTAGACCATTGGGATAAAAGGGCTTGTTTCAGTAGCGGGTCAGTGCGCCCATAACCCCCAAGGCGAACGCGCCTGTAACCCTCTCCAGGATCAATCGGGCATCCACAGTGCAGATCTACTGACACCCCCCCACACTGGGAGGCCCAGGACTAAGCACAGCGGCAACGGCCTACATGTGCATACACCGGGAACCGAACCCGAGACCGCTCTGATACCATGTCAGAATCCCAACCACTAGACCATTGGGATAAAAGGGCTTGTTTCAGTAGCGGGTCAGTGCGCCCATAACCCCCCAGGCGAACGCGCCTGTAACCCTCTCCAGGATCAATCGGGCATCCACAGTGCAGATCTACTGACAGATGTAATAGTGGAAGGGCTTTGCATATTGCTATATTCTTTAAGGAGCAAACATAATTATATTAGCCATCGTGATCTAATAATATTGTACAATGTAATGAAATTTCTTTCCAACGTTTCTGAAAATAGCTATATCGAAATGCATATTACTTTAGCACTCGTGAGTAAACAACATTGTACAACGTAATGAAATTACTTTCCATCGTTCAAACTATTATAATATGTTGGCAAAATTACTGTAGTATCGGTTAGTGTACTGTAATTACAATTTTGTGATGTTGGCGGGTTGTTTCTCAGCGAGGACGCGGCTCGCTTGTGATTCGTTCCAAACGTCTGGGAGTGGTTGGAACGGGGTGTCTCGAAGGTTACGTGTGCATCACCACCTGTAGGTGACCTCGGGGTTACAACGCGAAGTGGTTTTTGCCGAGGTGACCCGCGGGTCACCTAGACGAGGACCCCGGGGTATCCCACCACGGGGTAAGCTGTGGGTAACCTGGGGGGAGGGTTGTCAAAATATTATAGCTTACTTAATTGTGTAGGCCATAGTGGGGCATCCCATAGGGGGTACAACCCAACTAGGGTTTCCTATTTGTACTCACTTAGTTCATAGTTCACTCATTTTCTCTCGTTCACTTCTTCTCATG